CAGTCTGTGTCTTCAATTAACTAAAAAGAATTAGTGTAATTAAATTTAATGACATGTGAATCTAATTTTTTAAGTCTGATTTTTAGGGTTCTTTCTGTTTTACCTATGTATTGGTGATTTGGTTGGCAGCTGCAGGATATTATATATATAACGTTGTTTTGTTGTATTATATCAATATTTTGAATAATATTTTCTTTAGTTATTAGTAACTTTTGTTATTATTAGTAAATACTAGGGTTATACAGTGTATTATGTGGTTTTAATAGTTTTTTATTTTTTCGAATACTATAGGAATGTAAGCCATTTGAGTTGGTATTATATTTTTTTGGGTTGTGGTAGTGTTGATGTTAGTAAGCCAGTTTTCTAGTATCTTATTTGGATAGAAAGCTCACCCAGACTAAAGAAAACACATCAATGAGATGCAATCTCAAGGACATGTTCATTGTTTTTATTTAATAGCCAGGGAATTATTCTTTGAGAATTTGTTTCACAAGGTCAACTGTGAATCAAAATTTTCATGTGGATGTTTTGAGGCACCTGCATGAAAATGTCAGATAAAAAAGACCAGATCATTCTAAAGCTCAGAACTGGTTGTTGCATCATGACAGTGCCCCACTAACACAGCTATTTCTATTCAAGTTTCTCAACAAAAATAAAATGGCTGTGATTCCCCACTTTCTTTATTCACCAGACTTGGCACCATGCGAATTTTTTTCTATTTTCATGGCTGAAAAAGTGCTGAAAGGACAGTGATTTGAAAACATTGATTACATTCAAAAAGAATTGCAGTGAGTGCTTAAACAATGTCACCAAAAAAGAGTTCCAGAAATGTTTTGAAAACTGGTAGAAGCTCTGAAATCTATGTATAGCTACAGAAGGAATTTATTTTGAAGGTGAAAACTCTCAATTATTTAACATGTATGTCAGGCATTTTTTATCGGACCAGTCCCAGAACTTTTTGACTACATCTCATATAAGACACAAAGCAATTTTTTGAGCCTTTTTCTTTTAAACAAAGTCACATCTTATATGCCATAAAATATAGTATTTATTGCAGTGTGTAGCGTCTGTGTAATCCAAAACGAGTTGGTAGACGAACGGACAGCAATTGGTTAGAAAACGTACTTTTTATTTTAAAAATTCCTTATTCATATGCATTTCGGGTTGGCTTAAATGCCCAACCCCTCTTCAGTGCTGTTAAGGTTACACAAAAAAATTTAATTTAAGGTTAGTTTTACGGTATTGGTTAGTAGGAACATAACTAAAAACGCGAGGTGATGATAACATAAAATTGCTTACTTGACATATAATGGTACAGCATAGATGTATTTTACAAAAATTTTTTGATTACATAGTAGTATGGCATAGCCTATGATATGAAAAAAGTGGCATAAGGGGGAGGCTGTTTAACATATCATTTTTATGACGAACTGTTTAACATAGAATATTAATTTAAAAAATATCAATGCACACTTACATTTTAGTTAGAATGTATTATTTCCGAATACAAAAAGGAACATAGTACAAAACATTTTTAACAACTGGTCTTATCCGTTGTTCGCTTAGTAACAGAATACCGACAAGTAATGTTATATAAACAGTTACCCACATTCCGTACACG